GTATTATTAGAATGAGTGCGATGATTGTTATTATTAATAAGATATAGTACTTTCATGTTGAGAGGATGTCTTGAAGTACTTCACAGGATTTGGAACCATTTGTCACCCATTTGATATTCTCAACATCTATACTAAAAACGAAGTGTCTGTCTGTGTGTGTGTGTCAATGTTTCTGCCAATAATGCAATAACTGATTGACGCAGAGACATGATTTATACCTCATCTGAAAGGTCTTGCAGCGGAAGTGTCATGGGCATCTTTTCAGGGATCTCCTATCATCGATGAGTGATATCAAATCAATGTGGTTCTGTCCTTGCTCCAAAAAATGAGTCTGCCAGCGAGATCAATTTCCATCTACTCAATGATATCCCTGGCCAAGAAACTGTGTTCAAGTCCATAGATACTGTTCTTGATATTGAAAATGCTGCCTACTACCCAACTGAGTTATTAAACTCTTTGGAAACATTCAGTATGCCTCCATACAAACTCATACTAAAGGTTGGAGGCATAGTCATGCTGCTGAGGAATCTGGATGCACCAAAGCTATGCATTGGCACAAGGTTGGTGGTAAAGCAGTTCATAGAATCATAGAATCGTACAGCACATAAAGAGGCCATTCGGCCCATCGAGTTTGTGCTGGCTGTTTGAATAGACCAATGTAATGTCAGTCCCACTCCCCAGCCCTTTCCCCATAACCCTGCAGACCCGTCCTCCTCAAATACCCGTCCACTCCGTTTTTAAAAATAGTTATCGAATCGGCCTTGACCACCCCTTCAGGCACTGCATTCCAGATTCGAACAGCTCGTTGCTTGAAAAAATGTCTTCTCACCTCCCCTCTGCTTCTTTTAGATACTATTTTGAATCTGTGACCTCGAGTCACCGACACACCCACCAGTGGAAACAGTTTTTCCCTTTCTAACCTATCAAATCTCCTCATGATTTTGAAGACCTCTATTAGATCTCCTCGTAACCTTCTCTGCTCCAATGAGAATAATCCCAGCCTCTCTAGCCTTTTCTCATAATCAAGGTCCCTCATTCCTGGTACCATCCTTGTAAATCTCCTCTGCACCCTTTCCAATGCCTTAACATTCTTCCTATAGTGTGGTGCCCAAAACTGGGCGCAGTATTCTAACTGAGGCCTAACCAGTGATGCCACACGTTATAGAAGCAACCATTCTAACTGGTCAGTTCAAAGGGGAAAACATGTTCATTCCTTGCATCCCATTGCTCCCAAGTAACTGACCGTTTAAGTTCCAAAGGCCTCAAATTCCCTGTTTGAATGTACTTTGCAGTGTCAATTAACAAAGCATACGGGCAAAGCTTAAAGGTTGCTGGCCCTATCTCGAATACACCCTGCTTTTCCCATAGACAATTCTATGTTAGATGCTCATATGTGGGTTCATTTCAAAACCTATACATCGTGGCTGAAGGAGGACAAACTGCAAATGCCGTCTATGCAGAAGCTTTATATCATACTCGAGGACCTGCCGGATGAAACAGTTATCCCCTTTTGGTTAGCGTAGCTTTGATAGGAGTCCTCCCACGGGAATCCTCCAAAAAAGGAGTCCTCCCACTGAGTCCTCCCCAAAGGAGTTCTCCCACAGGAGTCATCAGCTGTGTATAGATAAAGACAAAATGTCTGTCTATGTGTCTGCCTGTGTGTCAATCTATATTGGATCTTCTGGTTGCAAGCGATGCTGCAAACGGTATAGCCAGTATGACTAGAAAAAACTGGGTGGGAGAGAATGGGCTCTCATCTCAAATTGCATGACTTATTCAGTTAATCTCAATACCCTTAAGTACAAACCTCCACACAATCATGAAGTAAACCTCAAGATATTGAATAGGTTATTGTATTCTGAACAGTTTGCAGTTTGGTGAGGTGACTGAGACAGGGCATATTCTAACACTGGGACAATTGATTCAATAAAGTTTTTCTAGCTATAGTTGCCTGATACTCGCACGTGATAAGGGTACCACTGGACAGTCGATGTGGGAACATTTCAGTTGTTTGACTGAAATGGGGGAGGCAAGGGCTTGATTCCACAGAGTTCTACCTACACTTCACAAGAATATTTGGCTGCACCTCTCAAGTGGAGAGCACTGGAAGTGGGTGTCACGCTTATTTGCAGCAGATTTCCTCATGGAGGTTGAAAGTGAAGGTTTAATCTGAACCCGCCATGAATAAATTATTTGAAAATGAACACCTTATATCAATGGTAAACATTGCCAGCTGTGTTCCCCCAATGATAAAACAAACACAAAAGTGTTTGTTGCCAAATCCGTGTTAACCCACAGATCCACCTTCAAATCATAGCTCTGCTTCCTGGCGTTTACTCCTCCCCCTTTCAGAGCCTTTTAAGATGTTATCTAACAGTTCCTTGTGACCTTACACTGGGACAAGATGCTTTATTCCTGCTACCTGCTGGTGGTGATTAGTGTAAAGGATTGTCTGCATCGCCGGTCACTCAGTGCATTCAGTGCCCAATGAATTTACAACCATCTGTTCATGGTTTGTTAGGCTGAGAAGCTTCATCCCTGTCGTTTAGTCAATGGAAGGGGTGGGGGGGATCTCATCCTCGTCCACATCATTAAAACGTGCCACATAACCGGACTGTCCTTTTGATTTGCTTGTTTGCCGAATGAAATGCACCATAGTAGATGGCTCCTGAAAGGCGCCAATGTGTGGAAGGTGTTGCCTATAAATAAGACCAGTAAGCACTGTGCGTCACGATTGCAGTTTGTGGTTTAACTGGTAATTTTAGGATTGAGCTGCAGAGTGTGCAATAATAGCAAATGTTAGCCAGTTCCTCTTTCAAATCAGAGCAGAGCAGTTTCTAGGCTAAGTAAGTGAGGAAATACGTCTCCACTGATTATTACACAATAACATAAGGAGTCCAGATTGTGGGCCCACTTCTTATTTGATTTACTCTGTTCCTATCTGGACTCCAGTAGGTAAGGAAGAGTTTTGTTTGTCTGGGAAAATCTATGAACTCTTGACTCATGCTGGTTAGTCGGAGGAACAAGCCACTTTGAAGGCAATGAACAAATGGGAATTCTGGAGCCTTCAGGGCAAGTTAAAGAATGATGTAGCAAGTGAGCAGGCTGGGCCGGGCACTGGTTGTGGGGTTGAGGTTGAACCAGCACTGTGGTTGCACAGTATCTGCAGAATGTTTTTTTTCATATACGATAGAAATTTGACAATGTATTTACTTTGATTCCTAAGAAGTTGCAGACTGGTCAGAAAACAACTGATGCACAATGACAGTAAATGCTAGTCTTGGCACAAGAGGCCAAATAATCCCTTAGAGTTACTCATCCTTGGGTGTTTGGAATCTCTATTTCTCTTTGCATTGTTGAAATTTCAATGAAAGGGCATCTTGATAGTAAAAGACATGAAAACCAAGGTGATTGAATGAACTTCCTTTAAAAATGCCCAATGAATGAAAGGACATAGTACTCAGGGAATGCTGTGCTGGCTTTTATCGCAACAAAACTCTCTGGAATAGTAAGAAGCGGTGTTCTAGTAAAGCGATATTGAGATGTCATTCTCTCACTGTCTTGTGGGCAGTCTATTATTTTCCAACAACACTGCTCATTGTGTGTCCAGGAGCAGGACAAATGTGTCAAATCTCCAATAAGTCAAAAAGATTTTCAAATATCCTGATCGTTATTCTCACTTAAGATTAAGAGGTTTTATTGTGTGTAGAAAATAACTGGTCTGAGATTCTGCCTCATTCTCACCTTTTGGACCATTTGATCTTAAGACTTAACATCGAGCAGAATCGTGTAAGATTTTTAAATCCGATTCTAATTTTATAATCGGTCTTTCTGGGGTTCTTATAAAGGCTTCCAAATTAACTTGTTGTTGTGTTCAGCGGATGATCTGTCACTAACACACCATCTTGTGCAGCACGTAAAATAAATAAAACACATACCACAGCCACCTGGGCACTTCATTCTCAGCTGGTACATTGGTGGGCTGTTTACTGACTAACTGACGAGGCGGGAATTATATTATATTGAAGAGTTAAAGAATGCGGTAAATGCAGATATAAACCTCTCCGTTATGAAAGGAAACATTTGAAGCACTGTGCTGGAACATTTTGTGACTCATTTTCTGATGCATTACAGCGCTTGGAACGCAGTTGTGGTAAGCGTGATCTGGGATTGGAGTCAGAGTGTTGAACCAAATCCAAATTTCATGCAGGATTAGCTAATTCACTCCCCCGATCACCCCTCACTACCCCCACCCCACTCCTTCAGTGCATTCCGCAGCAGGAAGCATTTCACGCTTGTGAGAAACAGCATTTCAGGAAGTGGAATGGTTCACAAAAGACTCCCCTTAGCCCTCAAAGGGTGAGGTAGGTTGGCGAGGATTATCAAGTTTGCTCACATAATTCAATCCATTGTCACAACAATTGCAATAAATGTAACAATCCAAATCATCAGGGAGAAAGCCGAACAGTGGTGGCCTTGGCGTGGAACACCGTGCAGAGGATGAGCAATCCAGGGCCATCATTTGCCTTGACAGCAGCCATCGGCCTCCACTAGCGAGGGAAGAATTCCATCATAAAACCAAGAGCCAGTCAACTCCTCCAAATCCCTCCTCTCTGCTGTTGCCACAGGAGCCCTGGTGCAAACATCAGAGCAGGGATTAAAGGGAACCTGGGACGTTGTACAAAAAAAATGCACCAAGAATTGGATTAATTGGCGTAGTACAAGGTGGCTGGGCACAGTTGGGGAAAAGTGTCAGTGTCGGGAGAATCCCTACCAAGTAAGGCTGTCCATGCAATTAGCTATCTGAACTCTAACCCTTCCAGAATAAGTAATGAATAACAGAGGGGATCAGGACAAAGAGACAAAGTGATTTGGTGAGTCCTAGCAAGTAATACATCAAAGAATGCTGGTAATTGGCCCTGTGGCTTTCATTCTTTGCCCTATTTCTTTCAATTCATTGACTCAAAATAATGGGTTCAGGTTCATTATCAACAGGTTTAAGCACTAAGAGCGCAACACTTCAACAAAGCTCCGATTGTGGCCGTACTAGAGTGGCTAAGTACAAGTCGTAGACCTCAGTGCACATGCTTGAAAGGGAAAGTGGTAGCTTAACAGAGAGCTTCGAATTGCTGCCGAGGTTTGACCGCAAAAACATCCAGCAACTTCGCAGTCAAGAATTTAAACTTGAACAATGTTGGAATACAGCTGGTATGGGCAGGTAGGTGCTATTTGATACATTACTTCTGATTTCTAATTAAGCACTGTGGAGCATGACATCTAAACTTCAAAACGTTTTCTGAATGACTTGTAGCAAGCTATTATAGCAAAGTTTTAAAGTGAACAAAAAATTAAGTTCCTAAGTAAAGCACCTGGAGAATGATACATGAGGAGGTGTTATTGTTTCCTTTTCCTTCTCTTGCACAGAAATGCTATGGGTGATGTGTGACAGTTGCTCATTTTGTAAAGCCCCTTGTGGATTTCTGCTATAGTGCAACAAGGAGAGGTTATTTCAGATTAGAGCCTCGAACATGAACATTTGAGCAGTAAGGTAGTTTTAAATAAATGTCTTTTTTAACGTTGAGTGAGATTGCCTGCTCTCGTCCTTCGTGCTAATTAGTCTGTTCCAGTTTCCAATTTCGGGAAGCGTGAGTTGCCCCGATGGTTACTGACATCAAAGTAACTCACGCTCCCATATACCCAAATCTGGGCCTCAAACTTCCAAAAGCCAGTCCATGCCCATCTTAAATGTGTTTGTGGCTTCATGATCTCTGATCAATCCACCAGATCAACTACTCCAATCAAGCCCTGTAAACTTGATCTAGCCAAAAGGCTGAGAAGCTATTGTATTTTTGAACTAATAATAATCCCTTCATTTGATATAGCGTTATTGCGCTGTTGAGATGTCTCAAAGCATCTCACAAGATGTACTATAAAGTAGTGTGATTGTGTGTACTTGATAAACAAATGTGGCAACCAGTTTGCACACAGCAATGCCCCACAAACAGCCATGGAGTGCGTGATCAATTTTATTTGGGGATTGTTGGCCAGGACACTGGGAGAGAGAAATTCCCTTCTCTGCAAAAGACAATGCAAATGAATAGCATGAGATGGTGCCATTATCAAGGGAATATTGAACAATAATTTTAGTCTTGAATTGAGCCTCTCCTGTGAGCAAACATTGCTGCTACTGAACAGCTACAAGCAGACACAGATTGGATAAGAATTGTTATCAACTTGTATTTGTTTGGCATTTTACTAGTGTTTTTTTAAATTGTCAGTAAGTAACAGACAGAAAGAACACAATTACAAAGCTCGTATCAAGTTCCTCCATCCAAAGGGAAGATACAAACCTATTATTGGACATTAACAAATTATATTATTGGTAGGAATTTCCCACAGCTGCAGTTCTTCTGCTGTGAAGTCAGTTTAACAGTTGGAATGTGACTCAAAATCATATGTGCATTTGACATTGAACACTTTCCCGCTACTTGATGCATTTGCTTTGCAACTGAATATACTCCCACAAATTAAAGTGCCCTAGAAATACAGCAAAACTAGTTGAAAAGAGAGACATGGCCTTTCTATATATATCTGATATCCAAGACAAGTTTCACTGCATACTGTATTGTTAGTATGTTGTTAGTACATACTGTATTAATCGCTCTGAGACATTACCCAGGGCGGAGGATGCTTTATATAAGTGCAAGTTGTTGTTAGAACAGTTAAGTTAGAAATAAGATTTTTGCAATCCTATTTTACCATTTAGTGTACATTGTTCTGTAGCAATTATTTTGTCTCAAGTTCATGTATTTATTTTTTTACCCTTGTTAGTTACTCTTTTATGCTGTGGTGCAGGCTTCTGGATCTTTGATGCAACACTATGTCTAGCAGGAATTCTAGCTAATTATAGTTGACTGTTTCAGCAGGAGTCCAACCTAAGAGTGTTGAGACAATAGCACTCCATGATGTAACCCAAGATAGTTCACAAATCCCAGTGGTCACTTTCTGCATCTGCAGGTCCCAGACTGAATTACTTTCCTGGCTCAGTCCTCCATCCCTGCCCCCACCCCACCCTGAACATCAATCCACCACACCACATACAGAGTGTGTTTAAGACGCCTTCTGAGACAAAATTCATCTCTCCTTCCCAAAATAATGACCCCAAATTTTTTTAAAATTATACAATAGAGTCAAGTGTATGATCAGGTGCGGTGTTTGTACAATTGTATGGAGAAGATGCAATATTGCAATGAACTGCCCATTTCGAGGGAGAGTGTTGTCTCAGACTGTTACTGCTTTGATAAAGAAAGACACATGTTTTAAAGGCTTACAAGGCAAGTTACAGAAAGATGATTTTTTTCTGCTGATTTGTGGAGTTATCAGATAAACTGTAGAAACCAGAGCAGGAATATTAACAGGATTTGATCAAGCAGAACATGTGGAAGTTCTAAAGACTGCTCGGTGACCGCTGTTTAATTTTCATCAGGCCAGCTAAAGCTATCACCATCCAATTGTACTTTATGGGATGAATGTTGATACTACCTGGATCCATCAACAATGGCCTGTTACAAAATAATAATAATAATAATCCTTGCATTTGATATAGCGCTTTTCACATCGGGAGGACGTCCCAAAGCGCTTCACAGAACACACTGTAAAGTGAATTGACTGTATATTTGTGGGCGAACGCGGCAGCCAATTGCGCACAGCAATGTCCCACAAACAGTCGTAGATTGAAAATGACCAATTTATTATTGTTTTTGGTTTTGGAGGGATTATTTTTAGGCGTGTGGAGTAAGGAAACTTGCCCAAGGTTTCGCCCTGCCTGGAATTGAACTCAGGTCTCTCACTTGCAAAACAAGTGCTCTAACTTTAACTCTAAATTTAACTCTAAATCTCACTTCAGTAATAGGATCTCGTGTATGAATAGTCTGATGTTGGACATTTGGGCAGAGGTGAAATTTAGCGGTGTCCAATGCCTTGGGACGACGTCCTCCTGACATGAAAGGTGCTATATAAATGCAATTTGTTGTTGTTTGTTGTTGAAGCAATGTCACCTCTTCATGGTATAAAGTGTAAAATGATTTGGTCGGTAAAGTTACTGCCGTATAGACAGAGTGAGTTTAGGATGCCTTTTGAGACAAAATGCAGGCTTATATCAGCAGTTGTGCCGTGGGTCAGTGAATTTCTGGTGTAAAAACTTCCAGAGTTCTGACATGGCTATTTTACATAAATATATATCCTAGATAGCTTTTCACTTTGGGATGACATCTCACTGAGCTTACTGTGAAGTGCCGTGTTTGCCTATAGATTGAGAAGGCGAATATGGCAGCCAATCTGGTACAGCAACGTCTTACAAACAGCATGAAGTAAATGACCAATTTGATTTGGGGATTGTTGTCCAGGATACTGGGAAAAACTCAATTCTCTTTTAGACTCGTGCCACTTGATCTTTAAAGCCACCTGAACGAGCAGATGGGACCTGGGTTTAAAGACTCAATTGAAGGGCAGCACTTCCGACAATGCAACGCTCCCCCAGCACTGTGTGTCACGTGAGGTCAAAGTCCCACATCGTAGAATCATAGAATGTTACGGCACAGAAGGAGGCCATTCGGCCCATCGAGTCTGTGCCGGCTCTTTGACAGAGCAACTGACTTTTATTAACCCCACTCACCAGCTTTCTCCCCATAACCCAGCAAACCTGTCTTCTCCAGTTACCTATCCAGTTCTCTCTTAAAAGCTGTTATTGAATCGGACTTCACTGCCCTTTCGGGCAGATCATTCCAAATTCTAACAACTCGCTGAGTGAAAAAAAAATTTCTAACCTCCCCTCTGCTTCTTTTGGTAGATATCTCAAGACTGTGACCACGAGTCACAGACACACCTACCAGCGGAAACAGCTTTTCCCTATCTAGCCTGTCGAAACCTTTCATGATCTTGAAGACCTCTATCAGGTCCCCGCGTAACCTTCTCTGCTCTAATGGGAAAAGTCCTAACTTTTCCAGCCTGTCCTCATAGCTAAGCTTCCCCATTCCTGGTATCATTCTCGTGAATCTCCTCTGCACCCTTTCCAGTGCCTTAATATCCTTCCTGAGGTAAGGTGCCCAGAACTGGACGCAGTACTCCAGCTGAGGCCTAACCAGTGTTTTGTACAGATTAAGCATAACCTCCCTACTCTTATACTCTATGCCCCTACTAATGAAGCTCAGTACACCAAATGCCCTTTTCACTGCCCTATCTACCTGCTCTGCCACCTTCAATGAATCGCTTGCTTGAACACCCAGATCTCTCTGTATGTTCACCCCTCTTAAGATTGAGCTACCAAGCCTATATTGCCTCCTATCATTTTTCCTACCTAAGTGTATCACCTCGCACTTATCTACATTGAAATCCATCTGCCACATGTCAGCCCATTCCACCATTCTGTGTATGTCTGCCTGCAGTCTGTCACAATCTTCTTCACTATTTACTACCCTACCTAACTTGGTATCATCTGCAAACTTGGAAATAGTGCTCCCTATGCCCAAGTCCAGATCATTAATATATATTAGAAAGAGCAGTGGTCCCAATACCGATCCCTGGGGGACACCGCTGCACACCTCCTTCCATTGCGAGAAACACCCATTAACCACCACCCTCTGCATTCTGTCACTCAGCCAGTTCCTAATCCAAACGGCTACTGTCCCCTTAATACTGTGGGCCTCCAGTTTTTTTATTAACCTCTTATGCGGTACTGTGTCAAAAGCCTTTTTAAAATCCATGTAAATAATGTCCACCGCATTTCCCTCATCAACCCTCGCAGTCACCTCTTCAAAAAATTCTATTAGATTTGTTAGGCAAGATTTGCCTTTAACAAATCCATGTTGGCTGTCTCTAATTACCTCGTGTTCCTCTAAGTAGAGATTTATTTTGTCCCGGATTACGGTCTCCAGTAGCTTTCCTATTACCAAAGTTAGGCTGACTGGCCTGTAATTTCCGGGCTTGTCTTTCTGCCCCTTTTTGTAGAGTGGGGTAACATTAGCCACTCTCCAGTCTCTTGGCACCACTCCTGTGTCCAATGACGATTGAAATATAATGGCCAAAGCCTCCGCTATTTGAACCCGTATCTCCCACAGCAACCTTGGGTGAAACCCATCTGGTCCTAGTGACTTCTCAATTTTGAGCCCAGTCAACCTTTTCAGAACTTCCTCTCTGTCTATAGTAATCTGATCTATGTCC